TTCTACCAGAACTCTGCCACATCAATGCTGAGACTCAACACCCACCATAAAACCCTCACCGCTACAATTCCTGCAGCCTTTATGCGCACAGCTGTACTACAAGTGTTGTCATCATCTTTCAGATGAATCTAGATAGCTCAGAAATCCAGACAGACGGGAAAACATGAGGTAATAGTGAGGCATCATCCCACTGGTGATGCTGCAAAGTTCTCTCGCAGCTGTGACCTGCTCTGTAAGGCCAGCAAGTCCTCTAGCTTACAGCCATTACAAGCTTACTCCTTTGTATCCACCCAGTATTACACAGACTGCCCCATGTACTTTAATGATGCACATTTCTCAAGCCCCTGTATGCATTCTTTCCATCTTCTGGGCATGGATTCTGGAAAAACGGTGCCTCTATCCATATCAAGAACTTCACCTACGCAATGCAACTGAAATGGCAAGTGAAGCAGAGTATTAAACAAGTGATTCATCTCAGAAATAATGGAGAGAGAACCAGCAGGGGGGCACACCTGTAATACTTCAACCACAGCACAGCATTACTCACTAGTGGTAATGCATCACAAAATATCCCTCAGAAGAAGATGGAGAACATGTGTTGAAAACTGGGTGCAGAAAAAAGCTACGGTGATCAGACCACCCCTATATATGTGGATATATGAGTGAAAAAAGTTTGTTGGTTTTTTGTTTGTTTTTCTTTTTTTAAATGAGATAGATTTGAATAAAGTGTTCAAGATAGAATATTGTCTTCAACATGGTTTTAGATTTTAGTCCATAAAGTCTCAAGCTGTATCATGTAGAAATGTAACACATACATCCTACTTGCATATAAAACCAAGTCATGCACCAATTTGTTCTATGCCTGGATTTCACATGGGCAGAAATATCAGCTTCTTTTCTCTTCAAGCCAAGGACTTATTTAAAAATAATTTTACAACTTTCTGCCATTCAGTAATCACGGGGCATTTCTTCCCAAACTCCCCCTGACTGGAGACTGTCAGACATACTGGGCTGCTTTGACAGCATTATTAGGAAGCCCTTTTGCAGATCTGTTCTGTTCTTATCTTAAAAGAAATGAAAAAGAAAAAAGATGGCATTCAAATTAAATTTGCCCACTAATCCAAAAAGAAACAAAAACCAGCTAATGCATTTCTTGTGACCATCTAAGGGAGAAAGAATCTCTTAACTGCTTTAATCCAAGAAAAACAATCATGATTTAAAATGATCCCATACTACATAACTTTTTCAAATAATGCTGCAAATTTCCATGGTTTACAGTCATAGATTATCCAAAAACAAAGTTGGAGGTAGCACAACAGGAAGGAAATGTGAAACAATACAACACTCGAAAGAAATGAAACTGATGACACATAAGACATCGTGCTTCCTTTTTCAATTGCAAGCAGCTCCATCAGTCACAACAAGAAAGAAGGAAAGCTATCCACTAAAGATGTTACAGCAGTAAAAACAGAAAAACAACCAGAACAAAACAAACAAGAACACCAACTGGTGTGAAGGATGTTTGGACAAAGTACTCTGACACCACTTTACCACGTGAGTTTTCATCTGCCCTGCATCTCAGAATGTACTTTACATATGAAACATAATGAAGGCATTATCCTCTTTTATATCTTACAGGAACGGAAAGAAAAGAACCTTCAGTGTATACAACACAATCTGGAGAGCGAGGATCTAATTAAAGAGGCAATACAAAAAAGTTTATCAAGAGACTCTTCAACAGGAAAACACAAATTGAATAAGAGGCATACAGATGCACTTAAGAATCCCATAGCCAAATGCCAGCTAGAAATTAATTTTGTAATGCATTTTTTTAACCTTGTTTGAAGCTCTGAAATAAAAAGTCTGGCTTTCTGAATTTCTGAATCAAATTAGTTAGTCTAGATAAAGCCAAGTGTGTTAAGCACAGTTCCAAATATGTGGTTTCAAGGAATGGGGCTGAAGAATGCTTTTCAGTATGCTGTCAATTTAACACTGTGGGGTTTTGGAGAAGAGCTCCTCTACCAAGGTTATCTTTCATTCCTATTGTAAAAAGAGGCAGAGAAGTGATACCTCTTGGCTCTAGACATCATCTACCAAGGTCAAAACATCCCCCTCAGTCTCATGCCCAGCCCCACCCAAAGTAAGCAGCAGCATTTTAATGTTGTAGGCTGAGCCATGTACCAGCCTGAAGTTACCTGCTTAGTACTACATGCAAGCATCGTCACCTGGGAGCTCCCAAGGAGAAATGATTTGGGAGGGGAAGAATGTCATTTGTGTAATGGGAGATAAACACATTTACGAGCTACGAATATCTGCACAACAGGCAAGTACTGAATTTTTGGTTTTACTTCATGTTGATAACCCTAAGTCCTACCTAGCATCAGGCCCACCTGGCTACATCACTAACGTGCTGTACATTTGTTTCAGTTCAGCATCTGGTAGAACAGTGATCCCTGACATCACTTTAAATAAGCTGTAGATAAATTCCTCAAATTATAATGACTATAGGAAACCTTAGGTGCTTCTCTGATCTGCCACACAACTCAGCTACTGACTAAGAAAAATGACTGGATTAATATGTAGGTGTAAAGAATAAAGGAAGAGACAAAAACAGCAACTCAGAGTACAAGACCTCAGGAGCAGCAGTGACGGCATTACCTACACCATCTCACCCAGCATAACACGTTTCCAAACATCCTCACAGCTCAGTGACTCAGTTGCTTAGACTGCAGAGTGGCAGGAAAGCAGGCAGCAAGAAACAATGACAATGATTTCTACGATCTCCGAAACAAATGTAAAGGGAAAGGAACCTCCCATTCCACACAGCCAAATCCATTTCTTTTTTCCCCTCACTTAAGATACTTACACAACGTGCTCGTTTTTAACATGACCCCTCTACAAATTATAACAGTGCTCCACCTGATCAAAAATGAATGCACTGAGACATTGTGCTCCAACATGGCGTGTTTGTGTGCTTTAATTAAAGTCGCTTTGAGGACTCTAACTCACTTAGAGCCAATAGCTGCAGTATCAAAAAAAATTACAGCTACCAATCCTAAAGATGTGAATAAGTCTAAATGAATGGTACTTTGAGAAACGCTCAGTTTTGATACTCAGCCTTGATGACTAAATAAGCAAATACAAAAATAGCCCCAAATAGAGTCTACTCATTAAAGAGGATGAACAGCACATTCTAGAACATGCAATCTCAATGCTGCTATCATTTTTTTGTGCTTCTACAACAGACAAAACGCCTCCTCTCTTTACAGCTGCCATTTGATGAATCCACACCAACAGAAGCATCCGGAAGTTCCTTTACACCCATCAGTCTTGCATGTATTATCAAATGATAGAGAAATACTTGAATTTCTTTCAACATGCACCTTTAGAAACAAACACAATCCTCAGCTTTTATCTTCAGTATCCAACAGGCACTTTAACAGGGTGCTATCAGTTCCAGAATCCTTTAGATACCACTGACACTAAGAGATGAGCCATGCAGAATCTGTGTGCATTTTTCACAGTACCATAGGATTAAAATGAGAAGCATGGTAGTAGAACATTACTGCTTTCTATTAGGAGTTTTGAATAATCGAAGATGCACAACAATCGAGACGAGTTACATAAAATTATTCCCAAATTACTTCTTTCCAAGTGCATTTCGACAATAGAGTGTATTAAATTCAACCATAAACACAAAAAAGAAGCCAACAAGATTCAGCAGTAAATTAGTTACAGTGTATTTTTACATTTTCACAATCTCTGTGCTGCCTTGCCCCTTCTGATCTCCTACAAAACCTTTAAGATTTTTTCAAATAAGCATCTCAGCATTCCCTCATAGCTCAGTTCATAGATGAGAGAACTTAAGAAGGATCCCAATCAGCTTCTTCAAATGCATTCCTTCCACACTGTTGCCAGAAAGCCCAAAGACTGTGCTAAAGTTAGTTTGGTGGCTCAAATGAGAACAAAAGCAGCCACGCACAGCAACACACAGTCAATGCCAAATCACATCTCTGTCACTGTGCTGTGAGCCCTGGGTTTGGATCTGCAGTCATTCTGTGGGAACACAGCAAGCTTGGCTTTTTCAGCCTAAATTTCAGGCAGTCATTTTTCACTCAGAGGGCGGTGAGGCCCTGGCATTGCCCACAGAGCTGTGATACCCCATCCCTGGAGGTGCTCCAGGCCAGGCTGCATGAAGGCAGCCTGAACTGGGGGGACAGCCCTGCCGACGACTGGGGATGGGGCCGGGTGATCTCTTCCAACCAAATCCATTCCATGATGTGGATTGACCCGTGCAACACAAACCCGGTCTCCAACTCCTGACCAGTTGCTTCGTGACTTCTTTTGTTCTCGTCGGAGCCACCAAACTAACTCTTTAGCACGCTCACAGCGCGCTTTGCGGTCTCAGACATGCGCACTTTAACAGAACCCTCTGAGAGCTGCACTCCTTTAAGTAGGACACCGCAAACTTCCACGGTGAAGCCGGAGACGCGCAGTGCCTGACGAGCTTCACTCACACCCCATAGGACGGAGACGAGTGCGGCAGGTCGGACGGGCACCAGAAGCGCCCGGCAGTGTGACGGCAGAGCCTGCAGACGTGGCACGCCCAGCCGGCACCTTCCTCGGCAGGCTGTATCCTCAGCACAGCCGGGCTGCCGCCCCACCGAGCCCCGCACGCGGAGCCAAACCCCAGATTCCCCTCCAGCGGCAAGCCGGACTCACCGCTCTCCCCGCCGGCTACGGCGCTGCTTTGGCGGCGGTGAGGGCACAGGAAGTCGCGGGCCGCCTCCAGATCCTGGAAGCGGCCGAAGGGGACGAGGGCGCACGACATGGTGCCGCCGCGCCGCCCGACCCGGAAGCGGTCGCCGCCTTCCCTCGCAGCGGGAGCCGCGCGGTCCCGCGCAAGGCGCATGCGCGGAGCCGAGTGCCCCCCTCGCTACGGCCGTCACGTGACGCTGGCAGCCGTTGGAGAGGTGGCTCGGGCGCCCCTGTGAGGGGGCGGCTGCTTCTCGCCCGCTGTGTGCTGCGGAGGGCGCTCAGCCGCTGCAGGCGGAGTTTGCACCTCGGGGCCAAGTCGTTATGCAGTAATCGGCATGCGAGAGGTGCCTGAGTACTTGGCTGAGAGGAAAAGTCGGCTTCTCAGCCGCCCCGTCTCTGAAGGTAGGCGCGTTGAGGGGCTGACTCGATCTCATAACCTGAATTCTTGCACCGTGGCTCTTGGTTGAATGTAACGCCCACCAGTTTCTGTTCCATCTCTGGACGCTGAGTTGCCCTGGTGGCAGCAGCACTGAGGGTGACTAGGTAACGTCAGTATAGCGCTGACAGCTGCCCCCCAGCCTCACCAGTGTTCCCCTTGGGCCAGGAGAAGGGATCGCAGAATCACCGAGGTTGGAAAAGACCTTCAAGATGATCCAGTCCAACCATCCACCTATCGCCAATAGTACTCACTAAACCATGGCCCTTGACACGAAATCCAAACAAAAGAAAAGTACACTGAGAGGAGCAACACAGAACGGCTTTTTTCACACCTGAGAGAAACTTCCCTCAGCAGCAGCCCTTTACATTTATTTTTATGCAGTAGCTACTTTACCAGGCAGCTAGTCAAGAACAGAAGTGCTGGTGCAAGTATACAAGCCCTGCTGAAAGTATAAGAGGTTTGAGTTTTGATCTGGGTGTTTTGGGTGGTCTTTAAAGACCATCTAGGACTGAGCACAAAGAGAGGCTTCATTCTAAACTGGAATTGCCTCAGATTATAACCTCTAGAAAATCTCTGGTCGGATTTTCATATAAACCATATTTAACTTGTCCTGCCAAGTTCTGGTGTCTTCGGTTTTATTTTGTTGCAGTAATCAATCGGCACCTAATAACAGTTTTGCCCTTAGCAACAGCATGCGTGTTTTGTTTCGGCGTTTAAAATTGGTGGCTCCTCTGGGAATGTGTAGGTTAGACTTGAATTCAAGCAGCTAAATAATCTTGCTGCCTTTTAAAGACAGAATGTCTGAATCCTGCCTTTCTCCTGAGCAGGCATAAAATTACATGCTGTGTGCCAATGGGAAGGGAATATATTGTCAAATAAGGTCACAGTGTGGGAAAGGTTGAAAGCAACAGGGACAAATGACTTTGAAAACACTAATTAAACATCTCAAGTCTATGGGAAAAGGACATTTAATTATATTTAGGTGTAACATATGCAAAGTCACTAGTAATGTCAAGTGAATAAGCGAAGAGCACACAAGAAATTAAATTAAGAGTATGGTTTGTCATTCTCCAGTGACACTTTTGTCACCTTATGGAAATTTCCTCCTTTAGAGACTAGTGAACAGTGTAAGATGCCGTCATATCCCTGCCTGGTTTGCTGTACACAAAGATGTCAAGTTGCAAAACTGCCAAGATACCGATTAATTCATAAAATAAGGAAATGAATAATTCAGCAAGTGAATTAATATTTGAAGAGGGGATCGAGCTCCAATGAACTCACATTATCACTCTGGCTACTGAATTATCATTTGTGTTTGTTGTGCCTTATTTAGTACTTATTAATTTTAAAATATTCATTGTAATTATATGAGAATCCATTTTAAAATGTTCAATAAACTCTGTCACAAATACGAATCAGCTCTTGAAGCCGTTCAGCTAAATGCTCAATCAACATCCAAAATTATCAATACATCTACAGTAACAATAGTTCCTATTACAGTTTACATAGTTCCTATCATTTGGATACCTTTATGCATTTTATTTTTTTAAAAAAAAAAAAAAAAAAAAAAAGCAGCGCAAAGCACAGTTAGGAGGGTTTTTCATGTGAGGAACTGAAGATAATGAAAGATTAAGTGATTGCTTAGGGTCAGTCCAGAGATCCATGGAGTGCTGCGAGTAAAACTCCTTCTTCGTCATCTCTGATGAATCTCCACCTGTCATTTAAGCAGGCTGGTTAGCATAAATAAATGTGATTGTATTATCATACGCAGAGTCTTGAAGTTGATCTTTAATAGGTGAAAATGAAATTGACAATTTATTTAATAGATGCATGTATACTGTCATGTCAGTTTGATACATGCAATTACCCTCTCAAATACATGCATATATGGCTTCCCAGTACTGCAGTTAGCTCTCATGGACAGGGGGCAAGAATTGACCAGCATTCAATAAAATGCAAAGAGAATGTGAACATTTGTGTTTGTGCCAAATCTTTTCTTGCTGCTTAATCAAAGCTGAGTGCAGTTGTGCATCCTTACATGCCTAAGAGATGTCTCTCCTGCACCCTCCGAATACCTGCAGTTCCCAAAGCTTCCATATAACTTGTACATTGTCACCCCTGAGCATCTACTTGCATGATTAAATCTTTATATAAATTTAGGTGTCTATTTGGTATATGCCCTCTAAAAATACAGCCCAGGAAGTGTTCTGCATCAAAAAAACCATCTTCTTGGTATATCTGTACTTGGCCTTTCTGTCTATCCAGTAGATAGGGCCCTGAGTTCCCTATTCAGAGTCCCCACAAGGCACAACTGGGACAGAGATAAGAGCATGAAGCTTTGATAGTGCTGTCACAGGAAGAGTGTCAAGTTCAGTAAATACTGCTTTTGGCTAGCAGGTGATAGAAAGATGCCTTGGAGCACTACATACGCTGTTGATATTTCTCTCTTCCTGTAAGTTCAATTTCTTACATACAGTGTAATCGAAGCCTGAGTTTGTGAAGGGAAAACAACATACTAAAGCAGCGACTTCCGTTTAAGTCACCAGACCAGATGTTCTGACTTACAGCACAAACAGGAAGGGGGGGGAAGATGAGGGGGCTGGGCAGCATGTCTTGTCAGCTGATCTGGGCTTGGTTAAGTCTTCCACTCAGCATACTTAGGCAGGACACTGCAACATCTCCAGCTGATATTTCTCTACAAGAGCCTGTAAGACTTAATAAAATTCTGTTTGCCCCCTGCCCCAAATTCATCCTTTGCAATTTAGGGTTGTGAAGAAGGCATAAAGACTATTGTGCTTCTGACTGTATAAGGAACTTTATTCACAAATCTTTATGGAGAAATGTGTTTGCCATCCTGACCTTCTATTAAAAAGATAAAATAATTGTAGACAATCTGAATTCTAAATATATATATTTCCAGATTTTTCTTTTGAAGTAGCAAGATTTTTAAGACCATGTGGATCTTCTGGAATCACTGAATGTGATTGGTGCTGCTCATTCTGACTCTTAACTTTTGTGCATAAAGATGTGGTTTGAACATTTCCACAGAGAGCTAAAGTACGTTCCCACACAAAACTACCCACAAGGGGATGGCAAAAAGCCCTGAAGTTCTCATCCCACAATTTCCTTTGAAGGAATTTTTTGAAGGAAGTCCTGAGATAGGATGGATGTGTCCTGCACTGAGATGGTATGTTTTATTCCAAAAGCTGGTTCTAGAAATGAAATCAAACCCTGCCCTTCTGATATATCTGCCAGTTTGTAGCAGTGTGACGCACAGCTGCAAAGCCCTATGGAGTAGCAGTCTGCTTTGCTCCTTTTGTTCCTCACCTTCCTGGGCCAGGCACACACTAGCATCCCTGCTTGCCTGTTATCTCTGCCTGCAAGTGGCAGATGTTGCTATGCAACTATGCACCAACAACAACTGACTCATTTTAGAATGGAGAATTAACTAAATTAGTTCTGATGAAGACAAGATACAGCTGAAGAGCAGCAGGAGTGAAGGAAAAAAAAAATAAGGAAAAAAGTGATGCCACAGAACTTTCCATCTCACCCTCTCACTGGCCCCTGCTACACTGGACTCACAGCCACCAGTAATAGGAGACACTGGAAGAAAACTGGCAGAATGTAGTAGTTTGGTTTTCTGTCCTCCTGAGGAATTGCTTTCTCTACTGCCTCCTTGAGCCACTGTAGCTTGCATGACAGCAGGCACTGGAGACTCGCCATAGATAGTAAAGAATTTTTCTTCCAATAAGGGCATTCTGTGTTGAGAATGGCCAGGTTTCATCCTTTCGTATTGCCCGAGTTCTGCAATCTCAGAATCCAGATTTTAGTGTTTCATGGAAAAGCACTATCAGCTACTAGGCTCAGTATCTTGAGAGACAAGAGCCAAGCAAAAAATATGCAACTTTTCCTGAGCATATTCATGTTTTGTTATTAATTCACTGCAAGCATATTTATTCCCATCTGTATAATCAATGAACATTAAGATGCTATAATTACAAAATAAACAAGAGAGTTAGACAAAGCAGGCTATAAAAACAAAAAGAGAATAGATAGAATGCTTACCTGTATCCTGGGCTCACTGCAAAACACCAGAGAAGTGATCTCCAGAAGAGACCCTTTCCTCCTGGCAGTGAGCTCTTACATGGCTCTAGGAGAGGTGCAGCCAGGCTCCACCCCTTCCAGCAGCACAGGTGAACTGCCTTCACCTGTGCTCCCAGGGTGGACTCAATGCTCACCTCAGGTGATCAGAGGTTCAGGCTGTGTGTGATTCAGCAGTTCCCATACACCATCTATGTTCACTGTTCATGAATATTTCAGCAGATAGTCTCATGGGCTAGAAGAGTCCTAGAAAAAGAGCATACAAACATTGATGAACACTGCCAGAAGAAAAATCTCTGCTACAACTGTGATTCTACCAGTAACATTCCCCAGTCGTGTATGTGTACATGTGTACCCAGCTCACTTTTTGTTCTAGTTGTGACAAACATATATGAATGAGAATCCAAGTACTGAGTATTCGAACTGGTAAATTTACAGGCCAAAGACTGTTGAAATGAACCTGTGAATGATTCTGAACAAGCTTAATATAGTTTTCTGGTGTTCAGAATGCTGAAAACAAAAGCAGACAGAAATGAGGAAGGCAATCGGTTTTCAGCAATGCAGCTTTACTTGCAGAGGTGATCAGTCCATCATTTGTCCCTTATATCCCCTGCTCTTAAAAGTCAGTAATAAATGTTACAATATCTTCGTTCACAAACGTATGTTCAAACAACTTGCAGATATGACTCTGAGTTTTATATAAGCCCCTTTAAAATAACATAGCTCACAGGCTTAGTCAGTGATGGAGACCCATAAGATAGATTTACTACATTATTCATGTGTCTGAACTATATTTTTTAAAAAATAATTGCTTTTATCAGTAGAACATTACATATATGGGTTTTCTGCACAGAAGCTAGAA